GAGTCAAACCCAGGCAATTTGACTCCATAACCTATGTTCTTAATTATCTCCAGAGACTACACTTTACTAGTTTAAGTTTTCAACTCAATTTGGGTGTCCAAAAGATTGTTTCCAACTACTTCTCCTGGTAATCATAGCCAAGCACTTTATAAGCTATTGTCACAATAGTTCATGTTTTTCTCCCCCCTCAAACTCCGTGCTTTTCTATTACTTCTTTTCCTACCAGGAAATATTTTCTCTCTTCACATCCTACCTTTATCACTGAGAAATTCTACTCATCCTTCAAGGCCTACCTCAAAAATTAATTTCCAGTTATGTTTTTTCTCTCCAAGTAAAATAGTCAATTTTTTCTTTACAATTCCATTAGCTTTAGATTTAATATATTGTTATTTCTTACATTAATGCTTCCTCCTTTTGACCACCAACATTCCAAGAGAATCGTACATAATATAAATAATTCAGTTTCTTACCCCCACTGGTAAGTGTAATGCCTGGCACAAACCAGTCTCTCAATAAATAAATCACAAATAAACAGACCTGGTTCTCTATTTGAATCCTACACAGCCTTTAAGACTTTTTTCTCCCTATATAAAATTTTACTGAACCATTCCGGTACAGAGCCATCACTACATACTTTGAACTCAAACAGTTCACTGGCTCAGCCATTTATTTGGCATTAATCACACTCATCTATATGAAATACAGTAACTTTTCATAAGTCCTTATGTACCCAAAAACTAAGTAAACTATGTTACCTTCTAAATTTCCATCATCTCCCTCCTGTTTTTAGCTTATAGCAGGCAGTGAACAAGTATTTGCTATGTAATTTGGTGTTCCAAATAAATTTTACATTCCATACAAATATGCCCAATTAACTTCAGCTTATTTTCATCTCTGTGTATAAACATTCTTATGGTAAAATGAAGTCATATAACTGGCACTAAACCACACCTCATTTAATATATTAAGGTTTCTTTCACCAAACTTTTCCTTGTAACTCTTGCCAATTCATTTAATAGTTCTGGAATCTGAAGCTTTTGCCTCACTACTGAGCAGCTGTATTTCCTCCTTGGCATTTTCCTTCTAAGATGACTTGTTACCACAGTGTTCTTTCTCCTTCGTACACATACACACACGCACACACACTCACACACACAGTATATTCTCTGTTCCTCTGCTTTCCCTAGGGACACATGGTACTGAAGATTTATTTTAGAATACTTAACAGTTTAATGGGGGTGGAATGAAAAGAAAAATCATTTTGAAGAGTTATCATTTTAGATTAAGTCCACAAAACAGACTTTGTAAACAAAAATTAAAATTTGAGTTGCACTAGAATATGAAGCAAATAGCAAAAACAATGAAGAAGCTATGTGCCCTCAGCACATATATGTGGATCATCTATATAAAATCTATAATCAAAATAAGTAATCCTAATAAAGGTAAGGTACTGTAAAACATTTTAGCCAAATGTACTTAGATTTATAAGCAGGGCATCTGCTTATAGAATCTAAGTGAATCATAAGGTGATCTATAAGAATCATACTCACTTAAAAAACTAGAATCACAAACATTTCAATATTTGGTTCAATCTGAAAGTCTGGTAATTTAAGAGAGAAAGTTAGTAGAGCCTACAACATAACAAAAAATGGATCGAATGCTAAATCCAAGAGAATAGGTCACATTGGTGGGTACTAAAAACAACATATGCATGGGATAGAAATACCTTCTAAGGTGAATTTTTATATTAAAACTGACAGATTTAATAATCTCAAATAATTTAATTTTACAAATTTAGAACATTACCTATATAGCAAAAAAAAAAAAAAATGGACAATTCAGGGTAAGTTAATTATGGGAGGGGGGAGTGAAGGGAGGACAGATAGCAACATATGTAAATTCTGGGTTTTATGGTTTAATTACCTCCATCAACTTTGCTGATATGGCAGTAAGGTAGATACAATTAGTTGCTTTTCCTAGTTTGTTTCTATTTTATTTCTAATTTCTTATCCTAGCTAAAGAAAATGTAATAATTAAGAGGGCATAGTGGGCCCTTCCTGGTAGCATAAAGGGTTAAAAGTACAGTACTATGAAGCTACTGCAGTTACAGCAGCACAAGTTAGATCCCCAGCCAGGGAGGTGACCCACATGGCACAGCAGACTTCTCCTGACCTACCCGCTGTTCAGTAGTGCATTTCAGTGCATCTGCCTGTTCTGCTCCTCACTTTGTCTCTGGTGAATACTCTTACTCCACCCCCTGCACCTCTGGCCCGTACCCCAATTCTTGTATGCATAAATAAATAAATCTTTTTAAAAAATTTAAAAGGGGGCCCTTCCTGGTGGTGCAGTGGGTTAAAGCACAGCACTGGGAGGCTCACGCCACTTCCGCATGAGTTAGATTGCCGCCTGCCCTGAGGTGACCACATGGCGTGGCAGACCTCTCCTGGCTGGCCCGCTGCTCCCCTCAGCAGTATACTTCGTAGATCTGCCTGTTCTGCTCCCCACTCTGTCTCTGGTGAATCCTCTCACCCTCTGCATCTCTGGCCTGTACCCCAGTTCTATATGAATAAATAAATAAATCTTTTTTTTTTTTTTAAATCTTTTTTTTTTAAGATTTATTTATTTGTGCATACAGAACTGGGGTACAGGCCAGAGGCTCAGGGGCGGCGAGAGGCTTCACCAGAGACAGAGTGGGGAGCAGAACAGGCAGATTGACGAAGTACACTGCTGAGGGGAGCAGCGGGCGGGTCAGGAGAGGTCTGCCACGCCATGTGGTCACCTCCGGGGCAGGCGGGAGTCGAACTCATGCGGAAGCAGCTTTAGATTCTCAGTGCTGTGCTTTAACCTGCTGCGCCACCAGGGAGGGCCAAATAAATAAATCTTTAAAAAAAAATTTTTAAAGGGCATAGTATCTCATCTAAATCACTTGGGCCATATCAGTTTTCAAATAAAAATGTGACCTGAGCCATCAGCTAGAATAAGCTCAAAACTGAATTTTGCTTTAACAAAGAAATCTAATCACCTGTAACTATTTATATGTTGTTACCACTAATAACTTCAGTGAAGAGTTAATTAGTTATATATGAATCCCAGTATTCTTAGATTTCAAACATCACATGAAGAGAATTTTAGGCATTGGTTACTAAACACAAAATGATCTTTATTTCATTCAAAACCCATGTGCCCTAAAATACAGACCTCCTAGGCCCTCCCTGGTGGCGCAAGGGTTAAAGCACTGCACTAAGAAGCTCAAGCCACTTCCCCATGAGTTCGATCCCCGCCTGCCTGCTCCATCCCTGCCTGCCCCCAGGTGACCACAAGGCATGGCAGATCTCTCCTGACCCTCCCTCCCCTGCTCCCCTCAGTAATGTACTTGGTAGATCTGCCAGTTCTGCTCCCCACTCTGTGGCTGGTGAATTCTCTCACCCTCAGCATCTCTGGCCTGTACCCAGTTCTGTATGAATAAAATAAATAAATCCTTAAAAAAAAAAAAAATACAGACCTCCTAACTAAAATACAAATTTAGAGAAAATAAAAGTTTCAGGGAGTACGACTATAGTTCAGTATCAATGATGATCTCTATAATTTTACTACCATGAAATGCAACAGATGCAACTAGCACATAATGAGTTTAAAAGAAACCTGGATCTTAACAAGTTTAACTTAAGTTGAACTAGCATTGTGGTCACTTATCTTCAGGCAATAGTATCATCAAATATTATGGCACGATTATTGAAAAGAGGAAGGCAAGAAAGAAATCTGAAGATAAAAACTAAAGTAGATTTCTGTACTCAAGATGAGTTTCCCAGTAACTTCCACAGAAGCCAGAGATGAGACTCCATGAGCAGTACAAAATAGTTGTACACCATCTAAGTATATTCTACCAGGTACTCAAACTAGGTAAGAAATACTATAAAAAAATTAAAACTGGCTTGATGGAAATATACTATAAGCGCATGAGATTGCATATCCATGAGTTCTAATTAACTATAATTATTTTACCTGTATCAAATTTATTCCATTAATAAACACCAAATACGACAGTCTTAGATTTACTACTTATCCTTAAGGAATATGCCTTATGCTTTGAATCTCGTTTTTATTGTATTAAAGCAGTACAGGGGAAACATTACTATATATAAGGAGACCATAAACTCGCTGTTCAGGAATGTGACTGAATGTCCACCTAGTAAAATGAAAAGTGCCCAAGGAAGTAAACAAACAACAGAGTCAGAAAATGAAGAGGTACCCATGTCTCCTATTCCCACCCCACAAAACTCTAGGATTTCATAAGACAAATCCCTGAACTATCTTTCTTTTCCTTTTTAAAGAGATTGCTCATTCCAATGCCTGGTCAAACTGGATATACTAAATTAAAAAAAGTAAATTTCGTAAGCCTGAATACAAATGTATCTATTATTAAAGGAGGCTCAAATTTAAAACACAAAGGGAAATAAATAGGCTTTCTTGTTTTTAACATTTTAATAGAAGCATATCGGGTAAGATTTCAAAAACTGAGCTAATGGTATTTATACATTGTGCCAGCAGCTGATACAAAAACGGTATATTTCAAAAGTAAGCCTCATACAATAAAGAAAACTTTGGTTTAAGATGATTCCAATTTATTGACTAAGATACATGATGAAGAAGTCACTTCAAATTGTTTTTCATGTTCCTGGCAGTGTAGGAAGTTGCTGGGCTCTCCCAGAAAGCATGGAAATCTTAAACCTTAACTCTCAATTAGCCTTCAATTCCTCTATTTTAAATTAATCTGCTTGACCTGTCGGTAGACATCCATAAATTCGGCATCAGTAAGCAATATTTAACTTTCTCTTCTACGGGGAGTGTGTGGGTGTTTGCAGAGAAGAGGTAATAATTCCTTTTGGCCTTTGACCAGTTTTGACGATTTTCTGAGTAAAAGCCAAGCGGCATTTTTTTTTCTTCCTTTTTTTTTTGTTAACGGAACCTTTCTTGTTAAAGTCGGGGTACGCAAACCCTACCTCATCCCTTCACCTTTGTCCGATTCCATATGGTTCACTCCATTTCGGTGCGGGTTGACACTTGGGGGGCCGAATGCAAAAACCCCTGCGGCTAGTGCTAAACGCAAATAGGGAGGAGGGCTGTCACTGGGGAACAGGCGTGGGCCAAACCCGAGTTGGTATCTGGCTGCACATCGTCCGGACCCGCGTGGCCGAAGGTCTTGGAGACCTAGGTCTGCTCCCACAAGACACGCATGCAGCTGTCGTGGAGCAGGAAGCTGATCGCAGCCCCGGGTCGCTTTGACAGACCCAGTAGATAAAGGGTTCACAGAGGCTACTACCCTCACCCCTTCGGCTACAAGAACACGCCAACGAAACCCCCGCCCCGGTCAGAAGGCAAGCGTGACCACGGATCCGCAGCCACCGACTCAGCCCAGCCCAGTAGGGGCCCGCCCAGGGGCCACTCCCCAAGGGAGGCAGCCAGTCACTCGCCCGCCCTTCCGGGCCCACAGTGGAGGGGACAGTCTCCCGCCCGCCTTCACACACAGATTCTCAGGCCAGGCCCCCAGGGCTTCATCCACCTCTCACCTTTGACGACGCGGTCAGCCCCAGGAGGGGGCGGCGGGGGCGGGGGCGGGGGCGGGGC